TTTTTATCAATATAAATCAAATTTTTATTATAATTTTATAATATATATATTTTTCCCAAATCAAAAAATAAAATATTATTATATTAAAAAATATCAATTATAAAAATATATAACCTTTCAAAATCACAAATTTACCTAAAAATTCGGATATTTCCAAATTATTATTCTTTTCCACTCCTTCCCCACGCAAACAAACTACTCTTCTCTTCCTAACTATATAACTAAAATATAATCAAATTAGCCCTAATATCCATAAACATTTTTGTTCGAATATTTATTATAATTTCAAATAATTTAAAGATATTCACAATAAAAAAAATAAAATATTAATAACATTATCCCAGTAAAAAATACCAATAAATAATAATAATAAAATAACAATAATAGTAATAAGAATAATGATGGTAAATACGATAATAATAATAATGATAATATGATGATAATGACAATAATAATGGCGGTGATGAAAATGATAATGCGGAAGCTGAAATAAAGGATGAAAAGATGGAGAATAATGATATAGAGAAGGAAGAAGATAATAATGTTCAGGAGGAAAGCCGATCCCAAGACCGGTGTACTTCTGCGAACCTAAGTAGTCAAAATTCAAGACCACATATCAGAATAGACATCAGAAGAGCTACTTAATACTTAATACGGAAACTAGAGGAAAAATACCGCGGCCCAGATTGGGCCCAGAGCCCAGACGAACTTTGTGCGAGCTTGCGCAATCGAAATGCATGTCCATATGTTACAAGAAACATCAAGACCAACTTTACACCGAAATTACAAGAAAAATGCGGCAGCGCAAATTGGGCCCAGAACCCAAGTGATCACTTTGTGCGAGCCTGCGCAGTCGAAATGCATGTCCACATATCAGAAAGAATATCAGAAGAGTAATTTCCACCGAAATTACAAGAAAAATGCCGCGGCCCAGATTAGGCCCAAAACCCAAACGAACACTTTGTGCGAGCCTGCGCAATCGAAATGCATGTCCACATGCCACAGGAGACATCAGAAGAGCGACTTTACACAGAACTTTGGAGGAAAAATGCCACGGCCCAGAGTGGGCCCAGAAGACAGACGAACACGTGGTGCGAGCCTGCGCAATCGAAATGCATGTCCACATGTCACAAGAAACATCAGAAGAGCAACTTTATACGGAAATTTGAGGAAAAATGCGGCAGCCCAGATTGGGCCCAGAATGCAGCGAACGCTTTGTGCGAGCCTGTGCAATCGAAACGCATGCCAAGATTTCACAAGAGCCACTTTATGCGGAAATTTACAGGCAAAATGCCGTAGGCCAGAGTGAGCACCCTAATCAAGCACCGGCCTTTACACTTACTGCACGAACCCCTCAGTGTGGACACACTGTTTGGGGAAAAAAGGCTATGTAGGCATAGCTCATTTAAACAATATTTTTCAATTTATTCGTCTCTAAGCAGCCGATCCTGCCAATTCACGGAAAAGGTTTCAAACATGAGAACAAAGGTGCCAGGTCAGAAAGCAGATTCAAATTTGTTGTAATTGTGACATTTTCTTGAAGGCGGAGGAGAAGGCGGAGGAGGAAAGATGGCAAATGGCAAGAAAATAAATTGAGAACAGGAGCAACGAATCCAGGTAGAGGCGACGCAAGACGAAACCGAACGGTGCACGAAGAGGTGATGCAAAAACTGAAAAGCTGTCGAGAGCGCGTTTGGCATAGCGTCATCCGATTCCTCAAGGCCAGATCCCCTCACTTGCCTCGACCCCCAGCGCTGTCTGTGATCTGGGACGTCCGCCGGCCAGAAGCTGCCTGAAAGATTGATTGCCGCCGCGACTTCTCTGAGAAGTAGCCCTAAGACGTGTCAATTCCATAGCCATTGTCAATGTGAATAATTTTTCGCTTCGGCGAATCATTCTGTCGCTTCCCTACTTGTTCAAGTCAGGTACCGTTGCAAGCCCGCAATCATCCCAGGGCCGCCTGAAACTTTGGAACGCATGCTGTCAAATCGACACAAGCCATGTCCACGGTTCCCGCCTCAGTGAGCTTGTCAAAGCCCTCTGCTGCTTTGCTGAAACCAAAGGCAATGCCGGAGGCAACCTGATGCAGCGCAGGGTTTGTTGCGTCACTGCTAGCAGCGTGATGCTCAATCGTCGAAAAAAGTCAGAGTAATTATCAGGGCGGCGTTCATCACTGGGCCCCAGTGCCTTAGAAGATACGTGGTGCTTCTCTTCAACTTCTTGAGCCTCTCAGCATCACATGTCAGGAACTTCTCAACAAAAAACCAGCAGCCAGGCAGAGTGACATCTTGGCAAGGGGAACTGACAAATTCTTCAAGTTGGTAATCTATGTTGGGCCAGAATGGTGGGTTATGAACATTATGAACATTGAATACGGGCTTTTTGAATCAAGTGAAAGTAGGTGTTCTGCAGCTCTAGGCAGGGCCGTGATTAGAGATTAATTCGTTGCAGCATAACCTTCTAGTTTATCAAGAAGACTGCCAGGGGAGCCATTTGAAAAGAATGGCTTTCTTATTTCTTGTGTCTTTTGCTCATGATCAGACTGGCGTGGGAATAGATGGGTACCGGTTCTTGAAAAGAAGGCTGACAGCATCCCAGCTCCACTGCCACCACCTTCGCCACAGCTGCATGAACTCCTTTGCACACCTGTTACGGCTGCGAAGAAGTTAAAGGAGCACACTGAACCTGAAGGATCCGCTGCGAAGGCCTTGTCAGTGATGCCGTACTTTTCGTTGATGACACCGGCCGTTGTCACTGCCTCTGGGTTCACAGATGCTTCATGAACATGCTATATAAGTTAACCCAAGTCTTCAACCAACAAATGCTGCCATAGGATTGCTTGGAAAGGAGGCTCAGACCATTTTGGCCCATTCAAAAAAACATTTGCAATCAGTTTGATACGACTGCAAACATCGGGAAATAGAATGAAACTGAGACAATGAAATGCCCAACTAGCAGGTTATTGCGCTCAACATGTGTCACCGGGGTAAAAAGCAAAAACCTCACCATCACACAGTGTGCAGACAGCTGGCAGTGCCTTGGAGCCTGCTTCCATGACCTTCCCGCTGATATCGTGTTCACGATTGATCTCCCGGGCCTGAGAGGAAGTGGTACTATCTTGAAACTTTGAATCATGGATTCCCGGAACTCAACTCCTTTGTTTCAACATCAACGCAGCAAAGCTGCACCTTGTCATAGCCCTTGATGGCCATGGCTCCAACACCTCTGGCCACATCGCCCACCTGGTCAGACCTGGTGGCGGCCACACCAGCCTCAGGGAATTTTTGCTTCGAAACTGTGCCAGATGGGAACTTTTCCATCCCACCATCATCTTGTCTGTGGTCCCCACTGCTGCTGCACCACCGACGGCGCCTGCCAGAGGAGATCGAGTTCTCGGGCGATTGCAGGCCATGTGTGGCTAAAAAGGGATGTCCAGAATTGCAAGACACGTTTGACCTCAAAAGTTTTTGCCATAACTGGGCCACCCCTCGTTTGTTAAGATGCTGAAAGCATACCTATGCAGACACAAAGCCATCATCTCTTCTTCTCCCTGACTCCGTAGGCCTACTGTCGCCAACCCCAAAGCACTTCCCAAGACCTGTGCGCAGTTCGGGGGCCACTGGAAGGACATTGCTTGGAGATCCAAGAAATTCTCCACTTTCAGACCTCCAACTCTGTCAACTTTCTTAGCTTCCGCACCACTGCGCCACCAACAGCGCCAACAGCTGCCACTGCGGCCATCTGCTTGACGCCGCCTGGACAATGATTGTCGAATCCTTTGACGTTTCGGGCTTTCAAAGCTTCGTTGACCAAACGTCCCCACCAAGAGAAGCTTTGTGTCATGGTCTCATCAGTACAGTCACCATAGGAGGTAAAAGGTGGTTTTCTAGATACAAAGCAAGAGCCCATGGCCACCGGCCAACCGTTTGCCACGAAGAATATGTAAAAATACACATCCAGGGGCATCGCATGTTTCGCTGTGAAAGAAATACGCATCAAGCTTGACAGCATGAAAAGACAGTGGGTAAAAACCTGGCAGAGTTCCCCAATCCCTCACCTGCGGCTGAGGTGGCTTGACTGGCAGCCGTAGTTGCCTGTGACTTGCCAAAGTGACGATGAAGCAAACATAGTGGACTCAACAGCTGCTATATGAACTGTCAGTGCATGAGCGCCTGTTGCTACTGCAGCGTCATTTTTGACATGTTGGAGATCCAAAGCCAGACGCACCAATGGGATATGTATGTCCAATGGGATATGTATAGTGTTGGAAAGCCCCACATGATCTGATGAAATTGGGTCCAGTTCAAACAGGGTCAATGAATGTTAACCGCATCATCCAACCACTGCGGAATTTGAAGCGATCCCTTTTTTGCCCTGTCCGAGCCCTGTCCTGCATGCCAAGTTGAACTGCTCGAATCCTGAAGCTGCGGCGCGTCGAGCCTATGGGGGAACACGGAATTCTTAAGCTGATGACGGAGGAACTCCACCTCCGTACACGTCCCATGAAGTTCCCCTGTGGCCCCACGCTGATCTTCCACCTTGGCTGGTTGCCAAGAATTTGTTATCAATGGAATCTGTCTGCAGGGTGCACTTGGTCAAACCCATCTTTCACACTGAAGTGAAACTGGAACAAACTCATTTAAAAGCCGGAGAAGCAGCAACCTGGGCAGCCAGCTGAACAAACATCTAGCAAAAAAACGACGTTCTTCGAAATATCCTTTAAACAAAAGAAACTGAACAGCTAAGAGGATTCCTCAGCTTTTTTTCCACAGCCTTGCTGACTTTAGGACCAGTTCCAAACTATTCAGGCAAGCCACTGGGATATTGGATGGGGAACCCTTCAAGGACTTCAAGTGCTGAATGCGGTCCAAGATCTGCACCAACGGGCGGGCATTGCTTGGCACAAAGGTGGATGGATCTGTAGCTGTTGGATTCAGAGCGCTTTCCCTATGGGATCTATGTGGCATAAGACTGAAGTAGCAAGTTTTGATATGTAGGGCTTGTTTCATCACATCCTTAATGCTTGCAAGATTGAGATGGAACATGATAAGCTGAGGAATCCTGTGATGGGTCAAAGTGATCACAGAAAGAAACTAGCAGCTTATAGGCTGAAGGACGATATTTCCTTATTCGACATGGCTGGATTTCCCTTAACTGCCCAGTGCAACCCTCCAGGGCCAAGAAATGCACAATTCTCTAAAGCATACTATCAACCATTGTGAGAAACGCGCAAGTACCCTTAAGCAATATATTCCGAATTTGTGTTGCTAGGACTTTCTATTTTGCAAAAACAGCACCATCTTGACATGGTTTGCCCTAAAAAGCTTAATTTCAATGGGTAAAATTGCAGTTTTCCAGCCAGAAACCTGCTTCCTTGGTGCCATTCCGACTTCTCCGGCCTCGCGTCGGTGCTGTTCCAGCTTTGGCCGATCAGCGGCATGGGCCGCAGTGGCATGGCCGATGGCACGTTGCAAGAGGCTCTGACCTCAGGGGGATCGCCAGCTGAACGCGGCGAACCTTAGCACCTTAGAAGCAAAAAACACATGGTATCTGATGGTATCTGTATGTTTCCTCCTTACGGAGATGATGTTTCGCTCTAAGGATGAAACATATCTGTACCAAAAAACACAATAAGGAGCAACAGTAAAAGCAACAGCAACCAACCAATCATGAATGTTGTTCTAACATGCGGCAACAGTAAGATTCTGTAAGGATGAAACACATGGTTGTCTAATGCTGCCACTTGTTGATTTAGATATTTGGCAGTATGCATTTTACACCAGACATGGAAATGCTGTGACCAATGGTATAAGTACAAAGAAGGCAACCAAAAGGCTGGTGTGGAGTTGTAACAATTTAAAACTCTGGAGCCCGGGCAATCCACAGAAGTTCATCGTGGAATGTCTTGTAAAGCTTGACAGTCATGAGCTTCCAGACTCTCTTCGTATTTTTCGATGGCGCCCTTCACATCCTCAGGTGCAGCTCCAGATTAAGAATTTGGGTGCTGCCGGGGATCGGGAAACGAAATCGACCGTCCTGGGTGCGAACTGGTCCGAGTATAGTTCCTGGTATGCCTTGAGGCCTTGAGGCACCAATGTATGAATAAACCAATAAACCATCTTGTTTTGGGCTGCACCTCCCAAACTCACAGAACAGAACCATCTCTTGTGCTAAATAACAAACCCACTGAAATCAGCCGCTTCTGTCCCAACCCCGGCCACAAGATTGATTTCGCGGCTTCATTTGCTCTGAAAATTGGGCACTCCCAAAACCGTTGGATTTACAGCTATTAACTTCAACCAATCTGACTCAATGGCCACGCAGCACCAAGGCACGCCCCTTCGGTCCAGGTTGATGGCCTCATTTTCGATTTCGCTGGCGGCCAGCACGAAGCTTTGACACGCGTCCTGGCTGTATCTGAAACCTTCTCCTTGTGTGTGCTTTTCACGCTTCAAAGCGACGACAAAATAACATGGTGTTTTGAATGGTGACTTCTGATGATGCTGAGCATTGACAATAACAAGGCTTTTGATGACAAAAGACAGGCGATGAAGTGTAATAAGTGATGAGTTGTAACAAAAACAGATCAACTTGAAAAGACTGACAGGACAAATTGAACCCACGGGAACGCAAAAATTAGGTAAATCTTGAATGATTCGGCCAACCAAAGTGGATTGGACTGTGCACCGGCTGGACCTCCATCTTGACGCGGAGCCTGAGCCGTGTGATGGGCAATGTGCTACACAGCTTCGAACAGCCCACTGGGGTTCCCTGGCAAAGGTGGCGGATTTGGCGACTGTACAGCCAAATCTGGGCCAGCTCAAAAGAGATAGAGTGTAAGAAAGTGTCTGAGATTAGACGGTTTTGACATTGTGCATTTGGACCAGGTATGTTGCTTTGTATGTGGAGTGCGCTGAGCAAAATGGCTGTGGGAGAAATGCGCTGGATCATCAATGCTTTCATTTCAGGTATTACCTATATATACATATATATATATTTACCTGTCATGTATTTTGCTCATCAAACCAGTTGAGTTGTGGCCAGCTACCAATACCATGGACAGCTTACGCAACGATGATCAAACTTTTGATCTCGATGTCGTTTCGCTTCCTTGGGGAAAAATCCTAGGCTGTAGGGCTGCCGCAGCTGTGACTGTCGCAGGCCCTTTTTGGAGTCTGGAAATCTGAACCACAAAGTCCGACAGCCTATTGCTACATTGAAGCAACAAAGTGAACCTTCAGGTTCAAATAACCAGACTGTCTTCTATAGAAACTGATTACGTTTCCACTACTTCAGTTTCTGTCCTCCCATTTCAAATTGGAGTTGACGCAACCGAAGGGACTGAGGGATTGGCACCAAAGCCATCCCATTGGAGCACGCTTTGGCTCCAAATTGAGAATCACTGGCACGAACCTCGTGCAAATATAGGCTTCCAAGCATCTTTCGATGAAAAATGATGAAAATACAATCAAAAAGCCTCCTTGGAGATGACCTTTTATTTTCGAAATATGCAGTGATTTGAAAAGCAGGACAACAAACTTTCAGTGTTCAGCACGTGGTCATTCTTTAGGCAGATGCTCAGACTTGTGGTCTGGATTGAGTGATCACGATCTTTCCATCTGCCGTCACAGCCCCTTCAATGTCCTGCCACACATCGATTCAAGCAGAAGCAACTCTGCAACACTGGGGCGTCGTTTTAGTTTTCGTTATAGGTGGATCTACCTGTTGGAAAAGTCAATTGAAACCTTACTTTGCTGGAATCAGGAACCCAGAGGAATCTTGGAGCAAAGATGAAAGTTCCTGAATTTCTGTCGCCAAGGGTTGGCCTACCGACCCTTGCCTGCGCTTGGCCGCTGAAATTCTTTTCGATTTGCCTGTGCGGTTGCTGGGAATAGAAAAAATCGGTGGATTCCTTTGGTGCAGGATAAGCAAATTCAGGGCCTGATTTCCTACTTCCAAAACGACACGTTGACGGCCCGGGGCCTACAAGCAGATACTACCTAAAATGGATGAGATGTTTTGAAGCCTCACCAAAAGAAAAACATACATCCATCTGTTCTTCATCTTCCCTACTTGCCATCGGTTCCACAATGCCAGGTTCAACAATTCCAACCCCTGAAGCATTACTTTTTTTCCGACTCACATCCAGGGACCCGGCCTTCCAATTTGGAAAAGCTTCAGCAACAGCTGCGATCGAAACTGCACATCAAAAAATAGCGGCTCCTGTGTCGGGGGCAAGCCATCAAGGAATGGGCATCGCAACAAGAGGACTCTATGCCTACATGACCGAGATGACCTACATGCAAAAAAATAAGCGTACTGCAAATCAAGGAACACAATCACAAGTTTCTGAGATCATCAAGACCTCAAATGGGTGAAGTTGGGTTCAAACAACTTGATGAAATCTAAAGGAAAGCCTGATCAAAAGTACAGCATCAGTGATGAGGCACAAACTGCCAAAGATCTCTATTCCAGACACAGATGACAACCCGCCCTGGCATTGTCCTCTGCATAGTCGATGGATCGATGTTCACCTCAAGTGCCATGGGCCGAGGTGGTCTATATGGTCTGGAAAATCGGTTTTGACCTGGTGTATCAAAACAACCTAAAACAGGGTGGCTGAACGTTCCCGAATCCGTATATTCAAGTTAACCTTTGAGGTCTACCCTTCGTCCCAGTGGCATTCCTTCACCGTCACGGAATCGTACAAGCCAGCACCAGCGAAGCCTTCCAGGTCCTGCAGAGTCTCCAATTGTGTTGGCCTAAGTTAGGACCTAAGAGCATGTATCAAGTTTTTTCCAAAAAAATCCAAAACTTTATCGGAACTTTCGGTTTTTGACACCTCAAATCGTTGAAAACCAAGAGATAAGTGGCACTTTTTTTTTGGTGCAGAGTCCTCGCCATTGGAGTCCGAGCGGAAGATGGCCGTACCACCTGCAGGACCCAATGGATCTTGGGCATTTTACCAATGCAAACCATGCAGAGCGCTACAAAATGGTCCAGTATTTCAACAAGATATCTGGGGAATTGACTTAGAACTAGAAGATCCCTACTTTCAGCATCAATCAATATTCATGGATTTCTGTACTTTTAGCTGAGTCAGCCACAGAGCCAGCCATCTGCATCTATGAACCAACAAAACCTGACAGTCCAGGCATTGCCAGCCTTCTGGAACGAAAACGCCCTCTGGCTTGGAAGGATAGACGTGAACATTGATGGCTTGACCTGCCGGGCAGATCTCAGGAAACCAGGATGTTCAGTTTGAATTGTGGCGGTTCACTAGGCCTTCCCAATCCGCAGAAATCAAAGGCCACCGTATTGACACATGGTGCTGGCAGTCAAACAAACAATGCGATTGGAGGCAGGTCCATCCACAGAAGACATCAGCTAGGATCCACGTCATTCATTTCCCCATGTCTTCTGGTGGCCCTGTCCCATTTCAAACTCAAACCGTTTTGCATTCACAATGTGGCTGCAGAATCAAGCACCGATCATCCCGGAAGATCTGCTTATCTCTCAGCCGGTTTGCGGCCCCCTCCCCCGCATCTGTTTTTTTCTCGCCACTAGACAAGTAGAACGTATGTCATTGGAAAAACCAAATACAGCTGACAGTTCAAATCCAAAGTTTGGGGATTTTCCATAAACATACATCAAAGTGCATGAACCATGTGGTAATATTGGTATATAGATAGATAGATAGATAGATAGAAAATTCCATTATGGAAAAATCCTGCCATCATTTCCACTCCACCGGCCTTCCACGCTGGCTGACAGCGCCCGGCCAGGTGCGTTGGAGACCAAGGACTCGCCGAGACCCACGCAGAGCTCCACCAGCGCGGCGTCGGGGGAAGCGCCGGGCAGTGGGGAACGGGTGTGGATCACGAAGGCGTACCTCGTTGAAGTCGTGAATGATGAGGTGATGGAGTTGGGAAGAACCATGATGATTAAAAGAAATATATCAAAAAAAGGGAACATATAAACACATTATAAACATATCATTTCATTTGTGGTGAAGTAGTGGGGATCTATATACCAAACAAAGGTTTATATCAAACCAATTGGATGGAGAATGGATAGGTAAAGATGGCTGGGATTTAGTTCGGATGCATTTCTGAATGCATTACAAGTCAAGGTTTTCTTTTGTTCCCGAGAGCGTCTGAGCGCAGGGTTCTTCCAATAGTGGGGGTCTGTAAAACATCTTCTCATCTTCACATCTTCTCTCACATCTGCTCATCTTCACATCTTCTCTCACATCTTCTCTCACATCTGCTCATCTTCACATCTGCTCATCTTCGCATCTTCTCTCACATCTTCTCTCACATCTGCTCATCTTCACATCTGCTCATCTTCACATCTTCTCTCACATCTTCTCTCACATCTGCTCATCTTCACATCTTCTCTCACATCTTCTCTCACATCTGCTCATCTTCAAATCTTCTCTCACATCATCTTCACATCTTCTCTCATCATCTGCTCATCTTCACATCTTCTCTCACATCTCTCACATCTGCTCATCTTCACATCTTCTCTCACATCTTCTCTCACATCTGCTCATCTTCACATCTTCTCTCACATCTGCTCATCTTCACATCTGCTCATCTTCACATCTTCTCTCACATCTGCTCATCTTCACATCTTCTCTCACATCTTCTCTCACATCTGCTCATCTTCACATCTGCTCATCTTCACATCTGCTCACATCTTCTCTCACATCTGCTCATCTTCACATCTTCTCTCACATCTGCTCATCTTCACATCTTCTCTCACATCTTCTCTCACATCTGCTCATCTTCACATCTTCTCTCCTTTCTCTCTCCCTTTTCTCTCTCTCGCCTTCTTTATCTTTCTCTCTTAAGGCCGAGGGTGGTGCCGGCGGCGAGTCACGAAACGTCAACCTTTTCGCACGAAATGAGGGTCGATCGTCAAAAACTGAGGAAAAATTGCGATTTTACTTGTCCCCGAGCAACCCTTTCGCACGAAATGAGGGTCGATCGGCTAAAACTGAGGAAAAATTGCGATTTTACTTGCCCCGGAGCAACCCTTTCGCACGAAATGAGGGTCGATCGGCAAAAACTGAGGTAAAATTGCGATTTTACTTGTGCCGGAGCAACCCTTTCGCACGAAATGAGGGTCGATCGGTAGAAACTGAGGTAAAATTGCGATTTTACTTGTCCTGGAGCAACCCTTCCGCACGAAATGAAGGTCGATCGGCAAAAACTGAGGTAAAATTGCGATTTTACTTGCCCCGGAGCAACCCTTTCGCACGAAATGAGGGTCGATCGGCAAAAACTGAGGTAAAATTGCGATTTTTCCTGTGCCGGACTTGTCTGTGTGTAAAAGCGTCTGTGTGTAAAAGCGTCTGTGTGTAAAAGAGTGTGTGTGCAAAAGCGTTTGTGTGCAAAAGCGTGTGTGTGTAAAAGCGTCTGTGTGTAAAAGCGTCTGTGTGTAAAAGCGTCTGTGTGTAAAAGCTTCTGTGTGTAAAAGCGTCTGTGTTTAAAGGAGTCTGTGTGTAAAAGCTTCTGTGTGTAAAAGCGTCTGTGTGTAAAAGCGTCTGTGTGTAAAAGAGTCTGTGTGTAAAAGCTTCTGTGTGTAAAAGCGTCTGTGTGTAAAAGCGTTTGTGTGTAAAAGCGTCTGTGTGTAAAGGAGTCTGTGTGTAAAAGCTTCTGTGTGTAAAAGCGTCTGTGTGTAAAAGACTGTGTGCAAAAGCGTCTGTGTGTAAAAGCGTCTGTGTGTAAAAGCGTCTGTGTGTAAAAACATCTGTGTGTAAAAGCGTCTGTGTGTAAAAGCGTCTGTGTGTAAAAGCTTCTGTGTGTAAAAGCCTCTGTGTGTAAACGCGTCTGTGTGTCAAAGCGTCTGTGTGTAAAAGCGTCTGTGTGTAAAGGCGTCTGTGTGTAAAAGCGCTTGTGTGTAAAAGCGTCTGTGTGTAAAAGTCTCTGTGTGTAAAAGCGTCTGTGTGTAAAAGTGCCTGTGTGTAAAAAGCGTCTGTGTGTAAAAGCGTCTGTGTGTAAAAGCGTCTGTGTGTAAAAGCGTCTGTGTGTAAAAAAGCGTCTGTGTATGTAAAAGTCTCTGTGTGTAAAAGTGTTTGGGTGTAAAAGTTTCTGTATGCAAAATCGTCTGTGTGTAAAAGCGTCTGTGTGTAAAAGTCTCTGTGTGCAAAAGCGTCTGTCTGTAAAAAGTTCTGTGTATGAAAAACTTTACAAAAATACGATGCAAACTATTGTCTTGTACTAGTCATATATTGTCTTGATACTACTCTTCTCGTCTGCCTATCATACATCTTTATCATATTATCTTGTAATATAGTGTCTCCATACTAACAACAGAAGACTCTGCTCCTCTACGCTCTCGGGCCATCCGTCGTCTAGTACAAAAATGGTGGTTTCCGAAAATAGGGGTACCCCCAAATCATCCATTTTATTATGATTTTCCATTATAACCATCCATTTTGGGGTACTTTCTTTTAGGACCCCCCCAAAAGGTGTTTCGGTGGTCCAGTAATTGGATTCTGGGTGATGGGTGATGACGACCAAGGCACTGGGCGTGCACCACCGGTTGCACCAGCACCGCCAAGTATAGCGCCTGGGCGTCCAGAGGGAGCAACGATCCACCGATTTTTTTCACCTGTTTGCATATGAGTTCCCTATTGAATACACTGATTTTCAGGGACTTTCCATTGCTGCGTTTGTTTAGTAGAGAGCATTCGTCCACTTCATGAGCTATCTATCGACTTCAACCGATGAAAAATGCATCCCTAACCAACTGTTGGTCTTATACCCTTGACTGTTCCTTGCTAGGTGGTTGAACCACCCGTCCAAGAAAACATGTTGAATCCAATGGATGTGGGCCAACTCCATTAAGGCTCACTAAGGGTAGCCAGCTTCAAATGGAGACTGGTGTCAGTGACTCAAGCGGGGAGTGCTCACCGGATTGACCCGAAGTACTGGTGCCTTTTCAACATCCGAAGCTTTCACAGTTGGGAACAACAAATCCAAAGCATGAACATTTGGAGCAGTGCATTGAAAAACCCAGCCGATGGCAATAGAAACTCCTGGACTTCGCAAAGCGAATGATCTGCGATGGGCCCCCCATTGCCTTGTCAGGAACCTTCATCTGCTTCCGGCTGGCGACCGCTCGATCCTTGAAAGAGGTCATGGAGATGACTTGTTGGATACGGATGATCTAATTCCAAGCACCAAAGTGAAGTTGTAATGGAGAAAGTTAAACCCGAAAACGACCCACCAAACCGGAGAAATCTCCAGCAAAATTTTTAAAAATTGGCATTGTGCACCAACCTTGACCCATGCCCACCGGACCTAGGTTGTATGTATCTCAATCCAGAAGTTTGGGGGTTCTTTGTGATGCGTAAGTGGCCTCATTCTCAAATTCTACCCCGTTTTGTGCAAACCCCTCTGTACCTTCCGAAAAAAAATGCAAACAACAACCGGGGTCCCGAAATTCAACCTGCCATAAAAATTGGACATAAATTGATTGCGACTCCGATTTCCCGTGACCCACATCCAATGTCACACTTTCATCGTCAAATTTGGCAGCAAAAAAGGGGGTAGTTACTCTGAAATTGTGGACCCTACCCCAAACCATACTCTTTCACCGGTTTAGTGGGGTATGCCATATTTTTCCATCAAAAAACGGCTGAAACAGGACCAACCAACCGTTCACAAACCAGGTTTACCCTGCTAATTGAATATTTTGTTGGATCATTCCAATGATAACTGGAACTAAGCTATTCACCATCGCAAAACATCATCTATTTTCTCATCAGAATGGCCATGAGATCTGGTCAAATTATAACCACCTCACGGTGAACCCATCGGCATTGGAAAGGGAACTGCCCCAGGTTTACCATCTGGCACTCAAATATGGCAATGGAAAATGCCAATTCCTTATGCCAAACCCACACAGAACCACAAACTGATATCCGCCGACCCCGGCTTGAGTAAGGGCCCGAAGGGAAACACGCCAGGGAATAATTAAGAGTTTTGGATTCCCGTAAGCACCATGTAGCAGCCACAGGTAGATGAACCAGAACAGTTACTAACCAAGGTTCCTGCAAACACTAGACGCTAAAAAACAGCAACGATGGCAACAAGAGCAGCAATACGAACAATAGCAACAATAAAAAAACAACAACAACAGCAACAACAACAAGAACAAGAACAAGGGATCACCGCCTCGAGGCAGGCCTGTTTTTTGTAATTCAATCTTTGGAATTTGGATCACGACTGTGTAAAATATACCGCATCTTACATTGCAATCTGGTTGTATGGCATGGATGTTTCATCTCATCATCGATTGAAAAACTTTGTTGCGAGCCAACTTTGGATACATAATGCTTTGAATAAGTGGTATCAACCCTTGGTGTGGACGAAATGAGCTTCAATGCTCAAACATGGTGCCCCAAAATGTCCTAGTTCTAGGCCTTGTCATGCACGCTGACGCTTACAAAGTGCAAACTTGGAGCGCAAAAAGGGTCCACAAAACAGTGCAGGCCAGGTTAGGATCCATGGCCCTAACTGGGCTGGCTGTCGCGCGTAAGCCTTTAGATTGTGGATTTTCCATTGGCAGTTTAGATTCCGAAATGTTGTTGCAGGTTTGGGATCAGCGTCAACCCCGTTTTCTGCCACTTCCCTCAATTTTACTTTTGGTGGGTCATCTTTTGCTCAAACATCCTGCAATCCGTGTGGCTGTCCATTTTGCAAATCATTCATGGTGGGTTGTATCAAACACATAACACATGTACAGTATTGAAATGCTTCTCCTTAAAGATCAATCTTCTTCATCCGGAATGCTAAAGTACTCAGCCAGGTAGCTCATGCCCAGTGGAGTAGAGAATATGTAACACGCCCAAATACAATATCGTGTGCGCACATAAGTCTTCCATTCAACCGAATCAATGGATCCATTGGATTTCACCGCTCGGATCAGGCCCGCAACCATTTCGCAAAAAAAACGTCAACCAGAAACAACCATGTCTAGGCCCAACCAACCATCAACTGGAATCAATGAAATGCAGAATTTGATTTCAGAGTTAATGAAATGCAAACTGTGGTGACATCACCATCCACCCATGAAAAACTATCCACTAAACTAACCATCCCAAAGCATCCAACCATCCCGTCAAAACCAACCATTTCACAGGTTCAACCAACCATCAAGCAACCATCCACCAAACCATTCAGTGGTCAATTTTCCCCTGATATTCTCCCCTTTTAAAGTAGCCTGACATACCGTGGATGGTTGCGAAATCCTGCACCACCTTGGATGGTTGAAACCCCAAAAAGATCATGGGATGCTTACCACCTATCAACTATGGGTTTGTCTAAAAATAGGCTATCCCGAAATCCACATGTTAATCATCATTTTCATTCATTTTCCTTATTCAATAGCATAATCATTGGCGTATTTTCCCGAGTTTCAGATAGTAACCTGACATATGATATGGTTAACATCAACATCAACCAACATCAACCATGAAAACCATCCACCAAACCAATCAACCATTAGCCCTTAAACATCAACCAATCAACCATTTTTGGCTCCATCCAATCAACCATCTTATCCCATCCAAGTCATCCAAGTTGCGGTCCATTTGGAGGCCCAGACCTTCTTCAGCGCCCGCTGCCAGTCCCCGGCGTCCAAGGCTTTGGCGTCGGCGCCCAGCGCCGCGTCCAGGGCGCCCCGGAGGGAGCTGGGGACGGCCTGGAGGTTGGCCATGGCGAAAATGTGAAGCAAATGGGATTTTGGAAGTTTGGAAATTTGGGAACTTGTTGAAAGATTCTTTCATGAATCGGATTGAAGATTTTGCATGAATCTAGAGAGGGTACTGGGTTTGTTTGCGTTCACCCTGTAACTTGAAGATGGAAATGAATTGGAGATGTAGAGGCGAGCTGCCCCATGTTCATGAGAAACATGCCTGTCAGGTTTTGGTATGATGGCCTTATCCCGAAAGTAATCATAACCAGACAAGTGGAGGATTTATTCAAAGCTGGGAGCAAAGGAAAACAATCTAGACAAGGAAGTCAAGGAAGTCTCGAGATCGACCTGAACTCTGAAGATATCCCAGGGCAATGACTAGATATTTTCATGAATCATCCAGTGAATTCACAAGTCGATGGCGGAAAGCGGTTGAAATCCCATCTGGGCTTCCTGACCAGTTCCTCTTCCAAGAAGTTTCGCGCTTCGTTAAGGTCTCCCTCTTCCAGGACCTCCTGGCAGCACAATCAGATGCTGGGTGCGCCTCGAAAACGAAGCTGATTGCCACATGGCAGATTCTCAGCAGAACGTCACGTATCATTTTCTGAACTTACAAAGAATCCTGACAGGATGTGGGTCTAAGTAGCAAAGATAAGTTGGTTTCAGGAAATTTGACAACTCCTTTGGCCAAACCTGTTCCACATTCTCTTAATTCAGTCCTGTAATTCTTCTTCGATTCCTTCGTTGGCCTTGTCTTTCAGCACCTGCTCGAACATGCCTCGGTGGCACCCGACATAGCACTGCTACAATGATCTAAATCTCTCGGTCTTTGGAGGATGGCACAAGCCATGATAGAAATCTCTTGCATGTCTGACTGGATGTTAAGCATGCTTGTTGATAATTCCCAAGCGCAAACATCAATAGACAACATATACGGCATGCATGACATAATCATCAAAATCCACTAGACACACACAGTAATACAGATTAGATTATATAGACTATATTAGATTAGCTTAGATTGTGTCTAATCTAGATTATGTTGAATCTAGATTACATCAAGATAGATTAGCTTAGGTTAGATTTGGTTAGCTGGATAGATAGATCGATGCAAATATGCCATAAAACTGCCACTAAAACCCGTAAACCCTAAGGCCATCGCCGTATGGAATTGTGGCACTCACCGGGACGCTGTACCTGGAGTGCCACGCTCGGTTTCCGGCAAAAAGAGGGGTGTTTCACCACCCAAAATGGGGAGCTAAGCTACAAAAATGTAGGGATTTACCAAGAAACCGTAGGTGTAATTTTCGCAATGGCTGTCAAATTCTACAAAAAGACACTGGCAGAAAAAGATACCAGAACATATGTTTTTTTTTTTTTAAAATCTGAAAAATTGGAGAATTCATGCCGAGTCAAAACGGCTTCATGATATCAACCAGTAAAAACAAGAAGTCGTTGACATCAATGTTTATGGTCAACTATCAGCAGCACCGACTGCTAAAATTTAAAGCAACGGTTTTGTAGCTGGTCACGTGCCATCCACCATCAACTCGGCCAAGTGAAGACTTTTGCCTGGGCGTTGCCAAGTTATCGCTGAAGAAATGGAATGACCAACACTTGAAAACACCTACAAGTCAAGGCTTTTAAATAGATAGCTTAGCATCATTTATCAACTTGACTGGCCATAATTTATCAAGTTGAATGGCCATAATTTGGGGAACAAAAACACATCATGCAATGTCATGTTATATTGTTGCGTGGCTGCAATCCTGTAATATCACCAAGAAACTGATTGTCAACATTCAGCCATATTGCAACTAGTTAAATCCTCATATAAGCCATTGAAATGGATTAATAACACACATATTTAATCACCATTGCAAATAGGTCAAATACTCCCAACATGGCCACACTTCGGTACCATGCACAAATCAAATTTTAAATATCAGATATTCAGCCTATCAAAATTTAAGGATCATCACTAGACACCGCCATTTGCAATGCTTATTACTTATGTACAAATAAGTCAAATGGGTTTGTTTGAAAATAGGGTACCACCAAATTGGATGATCTCTATTTTAAACGGCAAGAAATTGGGGGATACAATGGTGACAAACACACAGAACTATCGCCATACTTTATAATTAGCGTAATTCCATGAAATCTCATTAACCCACCACAAAGTTTGATTAAATCACAAATTTTCATTAACAAAATCGCATAAAATCACCTATTCTGGCTAGTTGAATCCCCTTTTTGGTTGATTTAAATCATCATAAAACCATATAAAACCCATCAAATCACTCACTATCAAATCCCACATAGATCCCATGGAAAATCACCCATTTTTCCGCGTCAAACTCCTCCAGACGGCAGATGCTGTGCCTCCGATGCTCTTCTGATGCTTCGTGAAGTCCGTGGCTGGCAGCACTTGGGTGGGCGGCGCCGGGGGAGGCTTCATGGTCTCCTCCGTCGCGATGTCAAAAGGGGAGGAACCATGGGGGATCATTGGAATATCCCATATTTCGAAAGTATATAGAAAGTAAAAATAACGTATCCTGATTAATGGATGATGGAAAAGTCTCGGGATGGTTCTACCATTTGATGGACTGTTCTGCGATTGCATTGGTATTACATGTGATTTGTAAACCAGGCAAACATTTGCGATTGAGCCACCGGACTGAGAAAGTCATCAGAAACGGCCCCCCGGTTCCATCTGACATCTCCAACATAGAAACACAGGTGATTTTCATTGCAAAGTGTTGCATCCATGGATGATTTTCCAGTATGTTCTTGGCATCCTGCATTTAATGATGACTTACAGCCGCTTCAGATTGGACTCATTGGACCCCGTCGCTATGTCAGATTCCCATCCGCTCCGCCAAAAAGGCTGCAGCAGTACCTGAGTGCGTCGCCGCGATGTCTATATGGCTGGTCAACGAGTTTTAAATGTAGTAAGTGCCCATCGCAGGATTCAATTCTGCTGGAGAGAGCTATTCCGCAGAATGGGATTGCGGTTCTAGAAACCAGGATATACCCAGCATTTACAATTTGCAACATCGTTGGGAAATGCAGCTACCAACTCATTGTCAACCGGACACTATGGCAACATGGCCCAGTTACCAAATCATATCTGGTTGCTCAAGTCAGGAACGCATTCCCATGTTTCAGCGGTTCCTATCCCCATTCTTCAACACTATCCCCATGTGGTGAACCATCGCCGAATGCGCATGAATATCGGGTGCCCACGGGCGAATTCACCGATAAATGGCATGTTTACTTCAGTTATACCAGCAGATCATGAACCACCATTTTAAAGCTGCCCATCCAAGCATCTCAATTTAATCAAGCATTCCTCCATGAGAAATGCACCCAAAAAACTCAAAAAGAACCTTTCAACTACAGTTTACGAGTTTGCTTAATCCAACACATGGAGATTTCTTAAAATGGGGGATCCCCAAGTCACCATGGTTGTTTCGATACCAAGTCATGGTCTAATGATTTGGATGATTTGGGGTACCACCATTTTAGGAAACCTCCAAAATTTTAAGTTGGTTTATAACCCATTAAGTATAGTAAGTATAGTGAGAGATCACCCTAATCAACCCGGAGTTATAAACCAACTTAGCTATTTATGACACCGCTGTTGGCCCAGGGACTGTTCTTCAGCTTGGATTTCTCGCTGGTGGCCTGCAAGGTGACTTCGCCTGTGGCCGACACCTGAAGCGCAGCTGGGGTCATTTCTTGCTGGGAAGTCATCTGTGGAATGTTGGGGAGCAACTAAGGTATTACCATCATAGACACCATATATGTATGTATAAATAAATTTAAAAAAAAATATATATATACATACATACATACAGATATACACATTTAAATAAAAAACTTAGATGTTTAAAAACTCAGGTGCATAGGATCTTTTTTCATACTGCCACCATACCCCAGACCTTCGCTGGCGATCCCACCTGAAGTCGCAGGTTTTGCCCTTTCCTAAGCTCAGGAGGCGCTCACAAAGGACAGTTTCCCATCATGAAACCATGGTTGTATGGTTGTTGGTCAGCTTTTCGAAGTTTGGGAGGATTTCTATTGGCTTTGAACCAAAATGGGTTGATCAGCCCCGAAATTTCTTCGTGAAAAAACAGCCGAAGTTCGAACGTCACCGGATTTTTCACTTGGACTCCCAACGTCACCGGATTTTTCACTTGGACTCCCAAAGACTGGACAGGAAAGTCGTTTTGGGAAACCCTGGCTGCTATAAACAACACCATTTGGGGTGGTTTATACCACGCTTAAAATGATGATAGGGATGTTTTACGGCAGGTTTACCACATTATCACTAACTTTATCTTGATTGTTTTCTTGCTGTTTTGAATAAATCTTCAAAGTCCGCTGGGATGTTGGTTCTGGTTTTCTGTTCTCATAATCCACTTTTTGTGGGTTTTGAAACCGGTGCCACATCGAGCCCTGTATGTACTTGTTTCGAGTTTGGCACTTTTCCTTTTATCAACATATGAAACCTTCTTTTTCCTTGTCCAAAAAGCGGCCAAGCAGTTGAAAGACCCAACCATGGCTGGAGCCATCGAAATTTAGCACAACAGCGACCTCTGGTGAATCCAAGTCGCATCTGTCGCAGCTGCTGGAGTTGTTGATCCTCATCACAACTGGCCAGCAAGACCTGACACGGAGTGATGTGGGGATGGCTACTGGGATAGATATGGAACCTTGTGGAACCCAGGATTTAAGTGGGAACTCTGGCCATCTTTGGTCTTCAAGTATTTTTCAACATTTTCCAGTTGCATCGGATGCAGATGAGTATCTACACATCCCCCAGGCAATAACACCGCAGTCATTGACCCTTGGATACACATAAGCACAGAGAAAACTTGAAGATTGGTACCTGTTGACCTGCAAAGGCTGCCCCTTTGTAAGGTCAGTTGGTTCATAATTAATAGAATTGGTGTACCTTGATTTATGCTTGATATGGGCTGTGAACTGGTTGCTTCCTAAAATAGGGGGGTACCCCCACATCATCCGAAAAATGAGACAATTTCAGCATTGAAACAGCCTTCCGTTTAGGGTAACCCTTCAACGTTGGCCCCGTCCAGGGGCACCTCCTGATTTCGTGCGCGAATGGCCACGTGCGACAAGGTATCGACCGCTTGGCCGGCGGGCAACAGGATGGCGTGGATGTTCGCTGGGATGTCCTGCCAGGGATCGGTTGGAAAATCCCCAGGTGGAGGGACAATCATCTATTTAGGATTTTCCAGCACGCCATGTTTGATTATTCCAGGGTATAGATACTGTAGAGGTGAATATGCATCTGCAAGGTTGGTCCGGAATTGACCCATCTCCAAATGGTGAAACAATTCGCAACGGACTTGGTGAGGTTGGCCATGAGGCTATGCAGTTGAGCTTGGGGGTTTCCATAGGTGGTGGGTGCTGACAGTAGTTGGTCAATGTATCCGTCTTTACAACTGGGACTTGAGACTTGTGCAATCTGCAGGCGCAGCGTTATTCCAATATCCATGCACCCAATTTTAGACTTTTCTTTCTCCAAGCAAAAGTTTCCATCATGCGAATCCTTTCTGGTAGGGAAACCAATGCCCCTTTGCGATCATGGGATTTTCAGCAAAATCTCCGCTCACCTCGACTTGAAGATCTTGGAGCTTGAATTTACTTCTAAGCCCCCGCCATCCTCCAAACATCGCATATCCAACTTATTATTTACCACAAATTTCTTGGTTCTATCTCCAATTTACAGCTTTTTTGGTTGGTTAACTCCACCATAAAATGGTGTCAAAATCACCGTCTCCCATCCCCAGATCCCCTAATGGACATATTGGGGATGATACTTGGGTTTACCATGTGAACCTCCCCACCATCCCCACCCGTCCCATCAGTTAATCTATGGATGCTCCCCCAACCAGGATATTTCAACAGTACTTACCCAAACCTTTCCAACCACCCTCCAGCATTTCCATCCCCTACTCCCTTCCCCATTCATCTCCATCAAATGATTGATAAATCCTCTTCAATCCCACTCAATCTCGATATAGTTAAACCACCATTAAACCAGCATTTTGCTTCTAGTTGAATCCAATAAAATCTCAGTAAACCCATCTGTGTTTACATCAACTGAACACGTACGAAGTTATCACAACCCATTCCAGCCTCAAACCCAATAAATCACCATTTTTTCCCACTGAAAGCAGCACCATCCCCATCCCCAAATGCGTTTACACCAACTGAACACTTACTAAGTTCGTCAACCGAATGGTGAATGGGATGCCATGATTATTGGCCATTGACTTTACATTAAAGTACCATTTTTCCCATCAAATTTGCGGTTAAAAGCCATGAAACCACCATTTTCAAGTTCGTGAAATCCCATTTTTCCCAGCATCCCCCATTCTCCTCCCATCCCGTCATGGTCTCCACCAGCAGAACCTGCGCCTCCGCTGGTGCCTCGCTGGGCAGCTGCGCCACCGGCTGCACCACGCCCACTGCGCCGCCCAGGGAGCCGCTGGCGACCACCTCCCACGGGCCCAGGCCCGACAACCTGGCGCCGACGGGGAGCTCATAGGGTTTTGATATGAAGAATATGGATATGTATTTCTATTTATCTATATCTATATGTATATAGCTACATACATATATATATATATATCTACATATATATATATATATGTATGTATGTATGTATGCATGTATGCATGTTATGGCTGTAGCTTTTCTGTGAATCTATAGATCCAAGTATTCTTTTAATGAATCTCTCTCTCTCTCTATAATATATATAATATTATATAATTAGATAGATGAATACAAGTATTGGTGTGAAGCAACTGGCTGATGATGGCAACTGGGCGAAATGTTCTTGAGAACAAACAGGTATATTTCATGGGTTCAAAGTTAAAACCTAATTATGACCGAGCAACCAAGCCTATGGCCCATCGGAGACCTCTGGAAACTTCGAGGGTCGATTGGTTCAGTGATTGGTTGATTTCATGGTGTGACTGGTTGACTAAAGGATTTATTGGATAAGATTGTGAGGGAGTGAGTTCTTGACTTGACCGACTTCACCATTAGTTGAGTGCTTGATTCGATACTTGAAAGAAACGTGGAAGTAATTAACCTTTGAAAATGAATAGATGTCAATAGCGATTCCATAATTAAGTAATCAAGTGTAACCCATCAATCATCATTGATGGAATGAAGGAACGCGCAAATAAAGTGATTTGGTGGATCGGTTGAAATCGATTCGGGATCAACTCCACTAGCAACGCTAAACAGCTTGGGTGCCATCAGTGGTCCCCAATGCAACAGCATAGGGGGTCCAAAGCTGAAGTAAAGGAAGTTCTTTATAACGCTGTTATTATTTTTATATTTCTTTATGAATTTTGAAGCTTTATTGAAGCTCATCTTAATTTTAAAGTTTCAAAGTTCTCTGAAAACCCAAAAACCTTGGACGCATCCCAATGGAATCAGGGTGAGATCCACAGTTTGAACAGCATCCCAGTGCCCTGGTAAGTTCCAGGTCATCGAACTCGGTTTCAACTGCTATAAATCACATGGCCCGGTTTATCCATATTTTTGAAGGGCTAAAGCGGGTTTGATGTACCCTTCGCCATAGCATGTTTAATCTTATACCGTATATACCTCTGTTTTAGTTGCTGGATCATACACTTTTCAAGGGTTTATAAACCATCGACCTTACCATTCATCCAGGTTGACCTATATCTTGATGGTGAACGCCCCTTGGATTACTTGGTCCCACCTTTTTGTTGGTTGACTCAATCTTTGTTGGCTAAGACCGATTCACCACTCACTTTAGAAACTACCATAGTTGATGGATAAAACAATCACAAAGGTCGGTCTTAATCCTAGCTGGTGGTTTCAAACCAAAAGATACACGCATCAGCTGAGATTGTCCCTCAATTTCCAGGGTTGACAGCAAAACCGTATTTGAAACCAGCAACATCATCATCGATTGTAAGCTTCTAAAGCTATCATCGGTTGTATCATCCCCATTATGTCCTCACTATCCATATATCCTAGCATTGGAGAACTAAAATGCCCAAGTGAGAACCTCCGCCCAAGCACCAATCTCCAGCATGACCACCACCGCTTTGCAACACTGGCTAATTCGCGTCGTTTGGTCTGGTCATCTTTTGGAAAATGTCCAAGAGCAGCTCCTGGAAGAGAACTGCCCCTAACAGCCGCCTTGGCATTGAGCAGTCACTTAGGTAGTTATGTCAGTGATGGCTATATATCACCGTTTTTAGGAAGTGAACTCCCCATGTTTGGCGGTCTCAGCCCCATCCTCCCGGAAGCGCCTGCGCACTTGCGGCATGAAGACCTTCAGGGTCTGTGCCAAGACCCGCTCGGTGAGACATCGTGCCTTCTCCTGGTGCTACAATGAATGCAGGACGTCAAGGGTTGACACGCCCGTTGGTGCCCCAGGTTGTTGGCTAAGTTGGTTGAAATGTGCACCTATCTGGCTTGAAATAAGTAGATTAAGTGTTGGATTGATGGGAGATTATGCTGGATATAGGGTGGATACATCAATAGTCAATGGGGTTTATGAACTAACCTATGACTGGGGGGAATCAACCTTGTAGGGATATTTTGTGGGGACTTCAACATGGGGACTATAACATGGCGATGAATGGAGATTACCAGCTATCTTCATCTTATTGAATGCTGGCTGACAACCTAAAACCTCACAAATGATTGTCAAATCCTACACAATATGGTCCATGCTCATAGTGCATCCCCAAAAACGGGCAACACTAATGTTTTCCCAACATTTGGGCGTGGCCGAAAATAGGGTACCACTCAATCCAGTGGTTGATGAGCATGTTCCCCGCTCAAAGTGCACTGTTTGGATCTTTTTGGGAGGTTCTTTTTATAGCCCAACAATGTGAGTCATCTATGAGTCTTCTCCATCATCCCAACTTTCTATGGTCCAAACCAACTATCCCTTTTGTATGGTCAGTCTATCTAAACCATAACTGATTGAAACCGCCAACATTTTAAGGCACCATCAGCTCCGGTTCCCCAGGCCTCGCCAAAGGTGCCCAGGTGCTTCTCCTCCGGGCTAAAGACCGCGCCCGGTTTAGAGCCGGCCTGGCGCTAGCGAGACAGTGGCGATGGTGAAATGGGGATTACAAGGTGGTGCCCCCCAGTTATAAGTTTGTTTATAAACCCCATTAACTATAGTTATAAGTACCATAAACCATAGTTATTAGAGTTATAAACCAACTTAGCTATCTTGGGGGCACCACCTTGTAGTCACCCAGTTTATGGGTAATCTTAACAAGGATATAAATAAATAAATCAATAAATAAATAAATCAATAAATAAATAAATCAATAAATAAATAAATATATATATATGAATAAATGTATCTAAATGCATATACATGATATATATATATATTTAGATGTATATATTTAAATGTGTATATATATATATACATATGAAATATAAAGTGGGATAGAAGTGGCACTATGATTACTTTGATAGGATATACCCTTTGGGATATGCGACTGTATACCCATATAGTGTATGTCTAAGTCATATATTGCTATGACTATATAGGACAGTTTATGTAAGGTTTATGATAATCTGGGAAATCCTGGCTGCAATAAACAACTACCATGACTGGGGATGGGTTATACCACCAAAAAATGGTGATTTTGGGAGTGGTTTATGGCGGTTTGCCACATTCATCCTATTTCGACAGGATATATGGCTGGGAATATAGTATACACGGATATGATCCTTTTTTCGGATGGGATTCAACCATCTATTTTATGGGGACATCCTTGGAGATCTAAGGGCGGTATGAGCAAGAGAAGCGGGGCTGAAAAAATTGGGAAACAGGGTATCTGAACAATGAGCAAATCACATTTTCGTGAGGCGTACGGGTAGAATTTGTCCCAATAACGGTGGATTCAATGGATATTCGCATCCCCTGTTACTTTCCAAAGAGCAACCGCATCTATTGATATGCTTGGGTTGCCCAACATAGGGAATTAAAATCAAACATGACCATGTTTGGTTCTAGGACCCCATTGCCTTCTGATAAAATGATTCCTAGTAGCCCCGCCCATAGGATTTCCATCAGTAATAGACTACCCATTGGAGTTGCCGCGTGAGCTACACATTCCAAATCTCCAAATGGAACACAAGGCTCCAAAATTGGCTTTGGACGATTCTTTTTTCCTCATGGATATGGCATGATATGGCCATAAATAAGATTGGTTCCAAATTCGAAGTCAAACACATAAAGAAACAGCGCCCAAGAAGTAGAAACATAAAATCCTACAAATATGGCGGTAAATCTATAGGTTGCGACAAAAAATAGAGGTTCCCAAGGGGTTACCATTTTCTATCTTCTTGGAGGTTACCATAGAGGGTGTAGTTCAGTGATGGGGGCCCGGGTGTCTGCTAATGGGCCAACATTTTCTGTCAACATGCATGAACTTTCTTTTCTATAAAATCTCCATTCACATGAACTGGTAATCTAACTTTTCGAATATCAACCAAGAACTTTCGGAGAACTTTTTGGATAAAAACCTTCCGCACCCAACTGGCCAACAATTGGGATCACTTGGGAATGTTCGAAACAATGCCTGGAGCAACTGATCAGCGCAATCTTGCAGCGCGGTAGAAATGCAATCAGCCTTGCTGAAGCCGTGATGACTGGGCAAAGGATATCTCTAACGGTTCCAACCCCTAATGTATGTAAGTGGGTTACGGAACAACTAGGTTGTGTACATGGATTTCATAACCTCATCTGCCCGGTAACACGAAGGAGGCTCGTTGTGAAATGATGAGGCTTTTCTTCTGGTCACAAATTCCGAAACTTGGATTCTCCTCGTTTAACCGGTAAATAACGCTAGGTAGGGTGGTTTATGACCTCGTTTGTAACTGGAAATCAACCATGGGAAGTCTTGAAAAAGGATGTATCCTGTGGTATCGTGATGAGTGCCAAACAGCGCAAATCGCTTGGAGGTTCTCTTACATCTTCCTTTGCAGGATCGCTGATCGTTGTCCGGATTCTGTGAATGGAAACCCAAAGGACCACAACTCCAGGGCCCAAGATGAACCAGGAACTGCAGCAACCCTCGATTCAAAGAAAAGTAACATCTAATCCTAAAATCGTGGTCAATCAAACAATTAGACCCTTTTCTGCATCCTTTTTTGGGGTTATCAGACATGGCAGTGGACAATTTATAGGTGATCTTCTCATTCATATATGATTTTACCATTAAGCAAGTCACTTTTAGATTTTGGGATTTTCCTATGTATAGCTACTTGTAGATGCTTTTCCCATTCATAGATGAATTTCCTATTCAACAAACCAATTGTAGATTGGGATTTTCCCATTAAACAGATGCATTTCCCATTGAAACAAGTGCCACAAAAAATTGCTGGGAACTTCCCTATGGCCCCAGCAACGTTTCTTCCAAGAGACAGTGGCGGTGCAGGTGAGGGCCAGACGGTCAAAGGCGGCGTGCAGCATCTTGCACCACTCGGGGCTCCATTTGCTGCCTGGAAACAGCGGCAACGAACCACGGCACGACGGTGCTGCAGGGAGTGTGAAAAAAGGCCAGGAAACATCGGAGAGTTTTTTAGCATTTTTAGAAGAAATGAGGGATTTTTCCAGATTTTCAAAGGAAACATGGAAGAACGCATGACGTAAGGTGGGTGTGGGTCAAGCTGGATACACCTAAAGAGGCGAATCAGGTGACTAAACAAACGGCTTCAACTCGCTGGAAAGGCCAATGGTTGCTTAGAGCAACACTAAAGCAACACCACAGGCACGCTTTTCCCCGGTCCATAAGTGCAAAGATCTACAAATACTGAAGCCGATCCTGAAGAGCAGAGCAGTCGCCACCACACATAGGCATTCCCCAAGTAACTACTGATCCATCAGCCAAGATCGCGGCGAATGCGACGTGCGTAGCCTGAATTTGTTGCACATTTCAAAGCTGATCTTGAACAGCAGAGCAGTCACCACCATAGTCTGGTCGGCCCCAGGTAACCACTGAGCCATCGGCCAAAATGGCAGCAAATGCGCCAGTGGTGGCCTGAATTTGTTGCACATTTCTAAGCTGATCTTGAACTGCAGAGCAGTCACCACCATAGTCTGGTCGGCCCCAGGTAACCACTGAGCCATCGGCCAAAATGGCAGCAAATGCGCCAGTGGTGGCCTGAATTTGTTGCACGTTTCTAAGCTGATCTTGAACTGCAGAGCAGGCACCACCTCGGTCTGAATTGCCCCAGGCAACCACTGATCCATCAGCTAAGATAGCAGCAAACGCTTCATCAGTCGCCTGAATTTGCTTCACTTTCTGGAGATGGGTTTGAACTGCGTAGCAGTCACCACCTCGGTCTCGATCGCCCCAGGCAACCACTGATCCATTGGCCAAGATCGCGGCAAAGGCGCCATATGCTGTGGCCTGAATTTGCTGCACATTCCTCAGCTGATCTTCCACCCCGGAGCAATCGCCGCCTTCTTCCGGATTGCCCCAGGTAACCACTGACCCATCGGCTAAGATCGCAGCAAATGCACCACTCGTGCTCTGAATTTGCTGCACATTCCTCAGCTGATCTTCGACTGCGGAGCAGTCACCGCCATATTCTGGATGGCCCCAGGCAACCACTGATCCATTGGCCAAGATCGCGGCAAAGGCGCCATATGCTGTGGCCTGAAATTGCTGCACATTCCTCAGCTGATCTTCCACCCCAGAGCAATCGCCGCCTTCTTCCGGATTGCCCCAGGTAACCACTGACCCATCGGCCAAGATCGCTGCAAATGCGCAGGTAGTGGCCTGAATTTGTTGCACATTTGTCAGCTGATCTTGCACTGAAGAACAGTCACCACCAGTGCGTGGATCGCCCCAGGCAACGACGGATCCATCGGCCAAGATCGCGGCAAATGCGTATTCTGCAGCATGAATTTGCTGCACATTCCTCAGCTGATCTTGAAATGCGGAGCAGTCTCCGCCGTAGAAAGGATTGCCCCACGTAACCACTGACCCATGGGCCAAGATGGCGGCAAATGCCAAAGCTGTGGCCTGAACTTGTTGCACATTCCTCAGCTGATCCTGAACTGCGGCGCAATCACTGCCTGCACCTGGATTGCCCCAGGCAACCACCTGGTTGCCTCCATAGCACCACAAAGCAAATGCTGTGCGAGAGGAAGCTACCTTAGCTTCTTGCACCACAGCCATTAGATGCGCTCCTTCTTGCACGCCTGCAGCGTGCAAAGAGTCCATAAGGTTGGTCAGGACATGTCCGTCCATGGTGACGAGTTGCAGGAAGCCCCGTCTAAGAGATCTTTGGGCCAGAAGTTTCAAGTCCCCCACTGTGGAAAACTCAGGAAGTGAAAGAGTTTCACAACAACCACTCGGGAGCAAAACGGTTACCTGAAGCATTCTACGAAATACGAAGCGGAATCGAACTCAAAAAATTGTATCAATGTGTATTGGGTGCAGGATCTTGAGCCAAAGGTGCCACCGTCTGAGAAAGTAGGCACACATGATATAGGAATTAAGTAGCACGGGGAAGCGAATCACTAATAGAAGGACATGAATGATTGACTCCAAGTGGGGCTTGGGACAAGTCACCAAGTGCCCAGACAATTGAATGGCCGAGTATAAACTATCTATCAGCCAATCTCCGTCTCCGTGGTACCGTTGGAACACCACTTTGCTTTCCGGCGATACCCCTGATATGTTCAAATACATCTATTTCCGAGATATATTGTAGGAAAATGTACGTAAGCCCAATGTCATAGGTTTCCTGAGCCATAGATTCCAAAGTACTCAGAAAAACGCTTTAAAGACACAAACCGATACAAACACACTGGTCAGTCACAGACATTTTTCCGCAACTTGAGGGTCTAGCATTTTCGAAAAACAGCTTTCACATATTGGCCAAAAGATATCTTAAGTAGCCACATACCCTGGTTGGTTCCAGGTGATCAACTCACGCAGGTCAAAAAAAATAGGACACTGGTGGGCAAATGCCCTCTTTGGATCGAATATAATCAGCAATTTGGGCAACGAAGAAGAGGATTGAATCGGTACGAGTTCAATCCTTAGGTTTTAACGATACTAACCTATACTAAGCCATGATCTCCTGGTATATTCCCATTCAAATCAAGCGATCAAGCCTTGCTGCATCAGCTTCTGCAACAAACCATAGCCCTGGGCAATCGGATGATCCATCATGGATTATCACTTTGGGTTTATCAAAATAGGTATGGTAACTGAAAAATCGATCAATGGAAGACTACAGTCATTGGATTATTGATTTCTTCTGGGTTGTAGCAAAATAATCCTAAGCAGTTCTTGGGTTTTTGGCACCGGAACCTGGGCAAACTGCTATAATTGGGACTGGCCATATCAAGGCAGTCTGTGGCAAATTGTGGCGGTGAAGCAAAGAGGATGTTGTGACGATCATTGACTTCTATCAACCACAAACCCTCATTAATCTATTTACAATGTTATTTTTATTGGATTTAGTTCATCAAATAGGTTGTCCCCAGCTTCTCTCAACTGGAACCATCCTTGAAGGCTCACAAGGCGAGGCCCCTAGATAGTTAAGTTGACGCACATAAATCGGTTACCTAGGGTATATGGGGGATATAACTTTAGTTAATGGGTTTATAAGCCAACATATACCTGCCGGGCGTCACCCTGTACTTCCCATCAATTCCAACGTCTGTATATTGGAGAGAACAATAGTAGGGCGAACCAAACGGATAGACATAATTACCTTCCAGTGCCACCAAACGTGGCTAGGAAATCAATGGAGGTTTGTAGCTGGAAAAGACATCTATGGAAGATTTTCCAGCACACCATGTTTGATTACCGGAGGGTGTACATCCCTATTGATCCAGCGAAGTTTCAGTGAAGTTGGGGCCTGCTGGAGGGAGGGATCGTGGCGTGAGAGCATCAAATCCTCCAAGATCAAGAAAATGAAGGTCAACAAATCATCACCTCAGCTCAGTTGACCAAATGGTGGCTGTGATGATTCACCACTTATCTTTGGCTCTGGTCAGGTCGTTATACAAGAATTATCCGGACAACATAAGCCAGGAACCAGTGGTTTCCGTGTTGTCCCAAGAAAGCTTCGCTGGACATTTTTCATGGCCAGTTCTAGATGAGTGCCGACAAACCACTTTTAACTTTGAGCTGCTTAGTCTGTTTTCCACTGCACAAGCAAAACAATCCCAAATTTGGTGTGCCATTCACTTTGGCTAGCCCATGTGGTGATGATTAAGTGCCCCCAGTTTGAAAAAACAACAACTACCATGTTTCATGTTCACCGACTGAGCATAATTTTTCATTCCACACAGCTCGAGACTCTGTCCCTCGCTTGCAAAAAAAATAAATGAATATACATAAAGTATATATATGTATATAATATCTATAGTTAGACTGTTTAAACCACATGTACTTTATGATCTGCATATAAAGCCAGTACCCTCACCCACCGTTCAAGGCCAGCCGACGTGGCATGGCGGCGACGTCGCTGCGTTCGGCCAGAGTCCTGCACTACCAAAAGGATGGTTGAAACCATATAGATAATGGGATAATCATCAACTAGTGATTTCGCAACCATCCATAGTAACTGTTGGGTGGCATTTTATGGTAGGTATATCTGGAGCTAAGAGGGTTTATGATGATATGGTTCATCTGTCTCGTGATTTTATGGGACTTTGCAACAACAAATGAGGATTCTTATGGGATTTAAGCAAATGCTGATTTAATGGGATTTAACCAACAACAATGTCGCAAACAGAACATTTGATAGGGTTTTTCATGGAGATTGGGATTGCAAGGGGATGCCCCGTAGTGGGGTGAACATAAGCCGGCTTAGAAAACTTGTTTTGCCAAGTCGTTGATTGGAAAGACGTTGTTGAAGACACAATTGCATGGCCAGGAAGAATGACGAACCGATCTATAGTTTCCAACAGATCTCAGAACTATCGCTATGCCATTTCTGCACGTTAACTATAGTTGCCTCTTGGTTAAACAGCCAGAGTATCTTCAGGATTCCACTTACGCAAAAGGCACCTTTGACCCAGAGCCGATCTTTCTATGGGTACCCTCTGATGGCTAACCTTGAAAACCATCCGTTCACGGATCGGTTTGCTCACTGCAACGACAAAACAAATTTTCGTCAAACTTTCTGCACCTGGAAATTACAGCATCAGAGATTAATCATCTTCAAGATGGATTAATATGGATTCATAATCTTCAAGATGATGACTTTCCGAGTGACCCCCACGAACATTCTAAAAAATGTACTCTGGCATTCTATGTGATATGTTTTGGGGCATTCTATCTGACATATATTCTGGCACTCTTTTTTGGCATTTTATCTGACCTTTCCATAAAGCAAATATGGGGCCAAAGGCCGACCCTATAACCAGTAACGTGTGAAACTCTTCCAGTTCCATAGAACAATTTTTTTTGTCCAGTAAATCCTAAGTGAAAACCTGGGGGGTATCAGCCAGTCTCCAACATAAAATGTCTTACCTTTCGTGGTAAGAAAATGGATTTGCCATGATCGATTTTTGTCAATTTACTCCCAAAACGATGAATTCCCAAAAGCATCGATTTCCCATTGGATCAGATTTCCTATCCTGAGCTGCTCTTCCATGGCAACATCCAACATCAGGACATCGCGCTTCCAAGAAATGGGCTCCAAACGCCTGCTACGGGACGCCGGTCCACGGAGGTCGGGGGCTGCACCAAAAGGATGGTTGAAACCCTAAAAAGAATGGGATAAACCATCTATCTATGCTATTCTGAATTATTGTTTTTAAAACATGTGGAAAAAATTGGATTTATCGAAAACCTCTCCAGCTCGGGATATAGAGGAAGTTGTTTCAGTAGCTGAAAGGACTTGGGGCGGAATAACTGGACTTAGGGGAATATATAAGTAAACCCATGAAATAGCTCTACCATTTGCATTCCTCAGCCACATGATTTCCCCACCGTCTTTGTTTATAGCGTGGCATCTTTAAGTGCGAAGCAAACATGGCCAAAAACACAGCCACAAGACCCACACATTGGGTCACATATGGTGGCTTCCTAAAATGGGGGTAATTCATTTCATCATTCATTTTCATTGGATTTTCCATTATAAACCATCCAGCTATGGGGGTACCCCCATGACTATGGACCCCCCATATGGCAGACATTTTTTCCACGAGCTGTCTAAGCCCATGGACGGCACATTAAAAATGTATCACCAGGCTTATATCAACCAGAAATTAGCAATCCAACGAACAGGGAGGTTGACAATTGTTTATGGCTAGTGATTAAGAACAAAATATTACCAACTAACAATTACAGATTGAGCAATTAGCAATTATCAAGAGGGAGGGACCTGGTTAGACAGAATTAAGAACCATGATCCTCTGGCAATTTAAACAATTTTCTTATGGAAACCACCATTCAATAGGTAGACACTTGTTCCGCAAACAGACCATCGCGCTACCATAGCTATGTCGGAAGTTGCTGATCAAATCCCAATCCCCAGGCAGTGTGAAAAAAAACCTGCGGATTGTCCCTTAAAAACTGTTGGGCAAAGAACGGGTTTTCCATGGAATTTTCCATATATATATATATATCCATATCCGCCGACCCCAGCCAACTGCAGGGGGAACGCGTCCGAGAAAAAGTGTCCCTAAGGCCTTTGCTAAACCTGGACTGGCTTTCAATGCTTCCCCTTTCAAAGAGGTTTTCTATTGGCGTCAGAAAGCGATGTTAGGCAGTAGCATGGCTTTAAAACCTCCCCTGCGCCCTCGCCAGCATTTTGGTAGGCAGCCTTCCGGCCACCCAGCGCAATACTTTGGCCATCTGTCGGACGCTTTCAAAGAGGTTTTCTACTGGCTTTAGAGAGCGACGTTAGGCAGTAGCCTGCCTTTAAACGCTCCCGGCGCCCTTGCCAGCATTTTGGTAGGCAGAATCCCGGTCCTCTGGCGCCTTGCAGCCTTCCGAGCAAGAACATAGCAACCAGCTGATTCAAGACATCGCAAGAACATAGCAACCAAGCCTTGGCCTCGCCACAGCTTCAACCGACACGGAAAAAATGCGGCCCTTTCATGGCATTGCAAACCACAGTAAGGAACCAAAGGCAGCTCGCACGTGGCATCGCATCGCAACATCGGGTAGGGTGCCCTGAATGCAGGCTAATCATGCTCTGGTGTTAATGCAACCAATCAACCAAGCTTTTGTAATGCTTCACGCAATGCCTACGTTACGCACGAGTTTCGACAAAGGCTCTGTCCATTTCAGACTTAGAGCTTGACACAAATAAAAAGCGTAGGCACAGAGATGGGGTCCCTCCTCGCACCTGACCTTCTCATGAGGCCACGAGCAAGCTGGGATTTCACCAAATCACATCCAACCGAACTATACCATTCTCTTGCAAGTTGGGGTCTTGAACATTGCGCAGTTGGTCTCTCCAAGCTACAATGAGTGTTCATGATGGCAGCATCTTTGGCATGAAGTTTTGAATCTCATTAAGTCATATTAACTCACCATTGGTTGTCATGAAATACCTCCATATTTCATCACAATTTCAGTCTCATTGGTTGTCTTAAGTCATATGAACTCACCATTGGTTGTCATGAAAGACCTCCATATTTCATCACAATTTCAGTCTCATTGGTTGTCTTAAGTCATATGAACTCACCATGTTTGGATCTCATTGACTCATATAAACTATTATAAACTCACCATTTTGGGTGAAATACCTCCAACTTCTCCAACTTCCCGTTGTCATTCGATTCTTCTCCCGTTGTTAATGTGCACCTCCGAAGATCCAAGATCTTTCCCATGCTGAAGGGGTCCTCGCGACTGTGGAAGATGCTGAAGGCCAAACCTTTGGCGACTTTCGATGCTGGAATCTGCTGGAAGTGACAAGACTGGATAGCGGCTAAAACGGGTTAAACACCTGGCGATCTTCCATGGGATTTCACCATTTTCCCATGGGGATTTTCCAGCCACTAGAAATGGTGATTTCGTGGGATTCCATCGGCCAAGAATGGTCATCCAATGGGACTGGAGGGGAAATGGCTGGGTCAAAACCCAGGTGCATCAAAATAGCTGGGTAGAGCTGGGCGCAGATCCCCCCAAAACATGGTATTTATAGAGGTATTCCATAGCTCAATGGCTTTAGAAGATGACTTTGCCACAGCTAGAGGCCGATTTTTATGGGAAATGCATCGGCCGTTCCTGCTGCGGAAATCTGAACTTTCTCCGAGGTTTCTGTGTCTCAAAATTTCTTGGATCCACCGACACACTTGGAGTTCGGCTTTCAAGCCACCAGATCTACAAGTTTTTGGGATGCTGAGCATCCCCACATTCCGAATCGTGATCTGGATATTGGCCTTCATGAAACGCGGGCGTTGAGAAGCTGGGTTGGCATGAGCGGTGGCATTTACGGGACACTTGTTGGCAAAATCATCCGAGGTAGACATGGAAAATGACGTAAACTGATGAAAATCAATGGAGCAATGATGGAACACAATAAGATTTGAGACAAGCTGCAGGTGGTGCCATCCCAATCACACTAAATTCTACCTATCATATTGAATCTATTTCCCTTGGGATCTGGTGAATTCCCTGGTCATTCTGTAACCATTCATCCCCGGCCGGAGAATTTTTCCGCCTTTACAGGCTTCACAGAGGGCGAACAGGTCAGTGCCACCGTGAACGTGTTTCAACAAACCTCGGTCGCACTGTGGCGATGGACATTTTGGGTAGTGAATGGGATACAGAAAGCAACAAATTTGGGTCCACAAAAAAGGACGTGAAACTCAAATTTTGAACCATATTCACATGTAACAGGTAAGTACACATGAGGGAAATTCTGTGTACCTTTTCCATCTGGGTAGCTCTGGTACCCTAGGATAATTTCCTCAAGATAAACAACACTGAAACCATAAGTTAAGATCTCATCTTTCTCCAGGAGAATTTGGAGTGAAGCCACCCAGAAAGTTCTTGACGTCGTCGTACATATGCGGCAAATGCACCTCACAGGTGGGCGGTCAGATCCCCTAGCGATGGAAAGCACGATGAGACCACCGGAAAAACATGGCCTTGGTGCTTGCTAATTTATGTGGGGATGGGCCGAAACCCCTATGAAATGACCATATTTTGGGGGAATAAACATACATTAACTAGCTATTTCTATTGAACATGGCATGCTTTTTTGGGTCCATACTACAACCCTTCACCACGCGTCTCGACAAATTGCCAATCAAGAAGGGGAAGTCTACTTGATGAGTTTGTTGACTGGAGGCTAACTCTCGGAAACGGACCGTTCATATAGGCTTGTCTGAAAATAGGGTACTGCCAAATTTGATGGCCTATCATTACTATTCCTATTTTAAGAAATGGTAGGTAGATCCACCATTTTCAAACACATCAAAATATCATCTTAGACGCGCATCCATTACATCATGATTTCCTCATGATATCCATTGGCTGTACTATCATCATCCCTATTTTTAATTAACCATAAACGCCATAGATGGGGGTATATACCAAAACCACATCTGATATGATTGATTGATATGGTCATCCGGCTATTACGTGAAAATAGTATCTCTTATATACAACCAGGTCACACTATGTCCCTGGTGATATCATTCTACATTGAAACCCCTGCAGCCATTGCTTTGATCGTTTTCTCCATTAAAATGCCATTATGGGGGATTAATCTTCCACTTTAAGACATACACCCACAAGGTCATATTGTTGGTGATATATCCTGTTGTGTCAATTTGATTATCCATGAAATGGCCATCATATGCTATTCAATTACTGTTTTTGTTGCTTTTCTTCAACCCATTTTTGACACACAGACACACTGTTGGTGATAACCTCCGTAAATCAAAGCTGGAAAATTCCGGGCATGGATCAGCAGCTATAGCATTTCTAGGGATGATCATCCACAACCAGCTATTTTGATGTTCAGCCCATGATTTAGTTGGATGATTTTCAGCTCCATGAAGCCCTCAGCTCCCTCTGCGAAAAGTGGCTGGAGTGAAGTTCAAGCCGCGACCACCGCTTTTGGTGTGGTCCTTGAAGCCCATCTGACCTTGGATCTGAAGGGAAACTTGACGCTTTTGGCTCAAGGTTTTGCACCAGTTTTTGTTAGCTAAGCTGGTTGAAACATAGGCTGACTAGGGTTTATTGTGATTATAATTGGAGTACTTGGAGTAACTGGAGTTGAGTGGGTTTACAAAGCAACTTCTAACTGGGAGGGCACCACCTTGCATGGTGCTCACCGCGTGCTGCTTACAAAGCTAAGCAGGTGAAGTTTCTTGTTTGCAATTTTTGGTTCACTGAGCAATAGTTGTTTGTTGTTTGGTGGCTTTCAAAGGGACCCTTGATATTGCAAACTCTGTCCCACAAGTTTCCGAGGTCGTTGAAAAGTGGCCACCGTGACCGTGACCATAGCCAATTTCGATATCCCACAAGACCATCAAAATCGCCAAACCTGGAACCATTTCCAAAACATCAACTAATCAGCCAAACCAAGCTTGACCCAGTGGAACAAATATACCACGGAAAACATACATTTTGTAGCTGGTCAATGCACTCTTCCCCATGTTTTGCTGGGCTTTGTACATGGCAACTCACCTTGGGTAGCCGAGGGTTCCACCAGTTTCCTCAAACAGAAGCTGCAGCTGAGTCGCACATCTTTCCCAGATCCTCTCGTGTGAGCTTCCCGCACTCCCACATCACGCGATACATTTCATCCACGTTGCCGGAGGACAGGTAAGCCAAATAACCTTGGATTCATGGCGTGGGGACCCCTCTTGTCAGCCAACTTGGCCGGAGAATTAGAATCAGCATTTCTTGTAGCCAAATCACCACTCAACGGCTGGTTTTCCATGTCCAACGGTAATTAGAAGTTGAATGTTCCGAATGTTCCCATCAAAGGGCAATCACCAGCACCGATCATAGTCAGACTGGAAGTTGGACCTTCCCAGAGGATAGCCGCATGACTTGATGTCCACTGGCCCTACAAGAAATGCATGACTTGACACGGTTGGAAAAGACCGCCCACCCAGTGCATCTCCAAAAGCAGGGATATTTGTGTATTTATATATATATGTGTTTATATATATATACATGTACAATGGGCTCGGTTTACCTTCAAATGTTCCAAAGAAGTCCAAACTTGGACCCTAAATTCCATTTCCAGATCCAAACATCAAAAAAAAGCCGAAGCTATTGGGGCTACCGCAGCCCTGCGGCTGCGGCGGCCGAGATTGGCCGAGGCTCCTTCGCAAATAGCGATGTCATCAGGGGCGCTGTTGGTATGCAGTTTTTGATGCCACTGCTCGATGAATTTGCACTCGATGCCTGCGGTCGAACTTGCGCTGATCAAAAAAGGGTGATGAGAATCTTTTCAAAAAGTATGGAGATCAATGATCAGTGAATAGATGTTAAGTTTTGATAGTGGTTTGTTTTAACATGTCTTAACTATGGAGATTAACAAACTCCTGATGCTTTTGACCATGGATCGACCTTTATTTGGGAGCTTCACGGATGGGGTTCTGGGATGGAGCCGACAGGATCAGTCTGGGTGATTTTGATGGGTATCTGGTTGGTGATTTCAACCCCTCTGAAAAATATTAGTCAGTTGGGATTATGACATTCCCAATATGATGGGAAAAATAGAATTCATGTTCCAAACCACCAACTAGGTATAGTAATGGTGAAATGACCCAAAGTTGAGACATACCCCGTAGAATTCTGGCCATTTAGCCACTTATCAAGTGGAACCGCCAGGATGAAGTTTAGATCATGGTCACTTGGGATGATCACCTCAAGTAAGATGGTTCAACTAAATTACAGCAAGAGGCACAACAAAAGCACCAAAAGATCCTTCGCTCAACAAAAGCAGTTTGGCACCGTTAAATCCCATGAAATCCACCTGGTCGGTGGCCCTCCTTGATGCCATGGGTGCGCATGATGTTCAAGATACCTTGGGATGTCAGCCATGGCAGGCTTGACATTTTTGCCAATTGCATGGAAAAGACTCGCCAAATTTCCGAACTAGCCATGGAGGTTTGTAATTTGCAGGGGAAACCATCGAAATCATATATGTAATATACTGAAGAATTATAAGGAGAATCATCGAAGATGGATAATTATAAACATCTGATCATAGATTCTCCAGCCATCTTTGACAGAGGCTATGTCGGTGATGTGGCACCTCAAAGTGGGCAGCATCTGGTCAGTTAAGTTTGGCTTTATGGTAGATAATTTAAGATAACTCAAGATATATCTATAGTTACTATGGTAACAAACCAACAAACATAGTAGCCACTTCCACCCAAGTTTGATTTTCATCTTTTTGGAGCCTCCGAATCATGATTCGATCCAAGTCATTTCACCAAGAGTTTTGGGGGACCCTATGAATAACTGGGATGAAACGTCTTAGGATTGTACACTCGATCAATCGACCAATCAACAACCCTACTCCCAATGAGTCGGTTGAACCATTCCATCAGTCGGAAGCCAGGGAGCGGCCAGTTCTGTAAGCTTTTCACACAGATATGTTTCCCGAGATACTGTATCCCTCATTGATATTCCTATCTCAAAGGACTATCTGGAATATCTTCCATGGTGAACATATAAATCTTCAAACATATGTTTACATGTTAAATCAACTTCAAACTGATGTCTCTGGGCTTCTTGTTTGCTGGTAAAATACCCACTTTTGTTGGTTGAATCAATCAATGTATGGCTGATTTTCCACTGACCAGAAAGAAGCGGAACAAAATCACAAGTTAATTTAAATCACCATAGATGCGTTCAGTTTTGGTCGGCTGAATCCATCTATGGTTGATTTTGCCCATGCACAAAAGCCAATGTTATTATGAAAAACATCATTTTACACTAGTTAAGACCTGGTTACTATCTCTGCTATCATCAAACATTAACATCCCATCATATCCCCAAAGGTCATACAAATTTGATTCCATATCCCATTATGAATTATCTCCGCATTAAAATCACATTAAATCATCATGGCATGGTTGGTTTGCCCAACTTTAGCTGGATAAATCGCAATTTTTGACTGTCAACATCGCATTTATTCCCATTAGGCCAACAGCAAATCCCACTAAATCTCCTTAACTTTCACTAAACCACCATGTTTTGTTGGTAAACCTCCATCTATTTCAATCAAATCCCATGAAAAATCATCATTTGTGGAGGTTTAAATCCCATAAAATCATATTTATCCATATTAAATCATCATGTTTTCTGGGTGCAGCCCATGAAACATCACAACCCAGGCGCCGTGACGAATGGCATCGCCACCTCCCGAGCTGCCGCGAGGCACCTTGGTGCTGTGGGGATTTGGGAATTCATGGGTGGATTTGTAGCTTTGAACTATAGAAATTGTAGAATTACCTTGGGGGATTTCATGATAAATTGCATGACATAGCTATACTACGAGGATTCATGCCGAATTTCTAAAGATAGAACTAGTCAACACATGTTATCATTTCTGTTTATTTTTGCGGAATAATCAAAAGACTTGACTGATTTCACCATCATCAATGGGGATGATAGAGGTAACTTGTTACAACAAAATACATGGTTTTTGGGATGAACATCCATCAAATCCAGCTAGTTTTGATGTAAACATCAGGCTACCGTTTTTACCCGTAGCCATGTGAGGCTTTTCCAAGAGTTGAAATCTGATGAGAATTTGTATTTTGCTTGAGTTCAGGTGGGTTAGAGCTTCGTTTGATGATCAAAAAACCGGCATTGTACATGTTTTAAGCATGAAACATAAAAGCAGAAACTGAACAACCCAGACAGGTGGGAACCCTGAAAATTGGCATTGGTTCATTTTTTTGACCAACAGCCAGTTTGGGATGCAATGAACATTCCCGGCATGAACATGTGACTACGATGAAACTGATTTGGCCAGGATGAGGCCACAGCATGGGATTGCAAGCCATCCCCCCAGCAACATCCCCCAGAGTGATGGATGGGGATTAAACAAAAACATTTGAGACCCATTTCTGTGGGGTGTTGAAAATAAATGGGAGATTTTATTGGAAGGATGTAGGTACCCCACATATCTACAGATGTAGTATACAAGCACAGATAGAGCTGGGACAAGGCGGGTGGAAACTTCCGATGGGAACATGTGCACCTATATTGGTCTTTCTCCAAAAAACTTGCGAAACTTGACCATAGCCCTCAAAATCTTAGATCCGAAACCAGAAATGGGTCATTTTTGATCCTTGTCTAAATTCTGTTGGACACCCAATCTGGCTTTGTCCAAACATGAGGGACCCGTGTCTTGCCGTTTATATTGGACACATCCTACAAACCGCTGGAGTTTGTCCCAGGCACAGCTTTCACAGCCAGGCGAAGCATCGTCCTTGGAGCAGTGTTTTGTTCCACAGATCTAGGGCTTTCTAGGGCTTCAGTTAGCCAAAATGGTGATGTTATGGTGGTTTAAGAGCGTTTTTTCTGGGATTTGGTTAGCTAAGTTTTGGTTAATAATTGTGGTTAATTTTGGGTCTGTAGATATATCCATAGTTGGATAGGACAGACCAACAATTGATAACTAGAGGGCACCACAGTGCATGATGCTGGTGCAATGCTGTTGATGATTTCGTTGTTGCTGATGATTATCATTTCTTACTATCTTTTCTATCATTCTTCTTATCCTTCCTCATCATCATTCAGTTTTTTCCACAAGTAACATGACTGCTAGTCCATACACATGATTCTGGTTACTAATGTGGAGGGTTGCGAAATCCTGCATCACCAAAAGGATGGTTTTTCAACCCAAAAGGATGGTTTATACCATTATCTATGATGTTTATCTATGGTTTAAATAATGGAATGTTTACCACCTATCAACTGGTGCAGGATTTCGCAACTATCCACCGTATCAACATTATTAAACATCATGGATGGTGAACTGAATCCACCCCGTCCTGATGCGTGGGTCGCTGGCGTTGGACACTGCGGTGCTCATGACGCCACCAATGCGTTCCTGGGCATGTGCCATATCCTGCAGCGATCGTTGCGCGAAAGTTAGAAGGTTCTTGGAACAACTGCAATGGTGATATGGCTGAGAAAACAAACGTTATCTATATCTATATCTAGACATACAACCATCAGTCATATGTAGCTTCATTCAAATGGTTAGGAGTTGAAGGACAAACACACACAAAACGGTGCCATGCTCATCACTCATCTGCGGGTGGGTCAGTTGATCTAGTTGGGATCCTCATCCCTGGATTGGAACAAGAGGATTTTCCCAGGGGTTTTTGATCCCAACATTTCAGGTCTTCATCGTTTGTAATGGTTCTTTTACTGTAATCTCAAGCATAATCCTGTAATATCATCATATATCATTCTATTCTTGGAATTATGTCTGAGAATCTCTTCCATTTGCTTTTGAGAAACACCTGTAAAACATCATGGAAACCACAAGGATCTGCAGTTGAAGATCTCCGAAATTGCTGCGGAGTGGTCATCAGCCAGTTGTGGTGGTCATCACAATCAGGAGTAAATTTAGGTATGGATCAACATTTGGATAACAAACCACAAAAATGGTCATGTCTAGGCTTCGAAAAACATGAATTCTTTGGAGGGTGATCGTAGATGACGAAATCCTCTTGGCCAATGATCAAAAAATCGCCTCAACCTTGGATGGCCAAAAAAATGGTTGGTTTTATTTCATGGAAAATCCCA